GTTCAAATCAATCGACACACAAACACACACAAAAGCACATGCACGTGCTTGCACTCACTTCTTGGTGGTGGCGCGAGCAACGCCATGGCAGAGGACCTGAACAGCGAGCGGCACGCGGTTGATGGAGTCCATGATGTTGTTGAAGAAACTCTCCGTCAAACGTTTCAGGTTGCTCCGGTTCACGCCCAGATTGTCTGCCTTGTCAACCTGTTGTGTCAGTTGGTTTGCGCATGCGTATATGTGCACGTGTATGCGTGCACGCGTACATGTGCATGTGAGCAAATAAACAGCCTCGATACGAATGATACACATTTGGAACAAAGGTTACAGGCACAAAAACACATTGCACTGTATGTGCACACTCACGTACACCCTCATAAAATCCCTCCCCACACGCACCCACACACGCACCCCCTCCCCCCCCCCACACACCCACACACCCATACACACACACATCTGGATAGCGTGTGCTTGGACACACCATGGCTGGGTTGATTTCATAGGACATGTCCGGTGTCTCCATCATTTTATCCACGAGCGGCTGCAAAACACGTTTGAGGAATCCTTGTCCATAGGTCTTGAGCGTTGCCGTCAACAACTTTGTCGCCAGGCTAAAAGGCCGTGGTGGTGAGAAACACACATTGTACGAGGGAACGTGAATTGACGCAAAACAAAGTAGCAACACAACTCAAAGGGACAGCAGTGAGGTTTTGAAGACATCGCACTACGCGTGCCGACGTCCACAGGTCCATAGATACCCCTCCACACGTGTACATGTCCTCACGCACGTACATGTAAATGAAATCGCGTGCATGTACACACGCACACACACACGCGCGCACGCGCGCGCACACACACACATGTGCACCTGTTTTTCCTGAAGACGAGGTGCTCTCCATCGCACATGTTGATGTCCCACTCGGCCAATTTGCACATAAACGGCAGCAGCAGCCCCTGCGAAGCAAACACCTTGAACAGTGACACTGTTGCTTCCTCAATGTCCTTTCGCGTGGCTGAAACGGGTTAACGTGGTGTGGTGTGTGTGTGTGTGAGTGTGAGTGTGTGAGTGTGAGTGTGTGTATCCGTGGTGATGTCACACGAGGAAAGACTGAGACTGCCAGAGAGTGTGTTTGGCGCATCAAGCAAATTCAACACCACGCCGTACGAAATTGCAATCACAAACATCACCCAAAGCACGCAGCCGCCTACCGCACTGGTGGAGAATGGATGCAATGGCCAACGGTGGCTCTGATAGAAGCTGCACCAACTGGTAATGCAGTCGTCATCGGCAACAACGTGGGGGCGATGATAATGGAGGTAGGCGGTCATGGTAACGATGGTATGTGAGAATTGCGTGGTGAAGATCGACACTGAAACGCAGCGGCAGCACCACCACACGTGGATGCGAACAGGGCCATCACCCTTCAAGAACAAGAAGACAAGCATCACCGCAGACGACAACAACAAGAATTGCAGTAACATCGCGACATGAGTCAAAGCCCGTACGTGGTCCCACGCCGTGGGCTGGCGGTTGGCTGGGCGAGCCCTGTTGGTGCAAAGGAGAGAGAGACAGAGAGAGAGAGAGAGAGACAGGGAGAGAGAGACAGAGAGAGAGTGTGTGTGTGTGTGTGTGTGCGTGCGCGCGCGTAAGTGTGTGCATGTGTGTGTGCGTGTAAACTGTAAAAACGTCAGCGCTCACATCACAACAACAGATGGACTGGAATCAACGAGCACATGAGTTCTTGTTTCTCTCACACACGAAACACAAGCATGGGCTTCATGCATGTGACGTGCACGCGTGTCACACTCGTGTGTAAATGACACAATCCGTACCTGCGCGAATGTTTTCGCAGAGGAACCTTCATCATGGATGACGAGGATTTGCCGCGAAGGGAGGACTTGGGTGATGGTGGATCGACTTTCCTCGAGGGTTGCTGCGACGTGGCAAGAAAGCGAAAATGCAGAGAATGAGTACATGTGTCGTTTGTGTTCATGTGTGTATTTGGTAACGTGGCTCCGCGTGTACACCATAAAAGCACGTGCGTTGAACACGGCATGCAACCGAACACAGCGACGCAGTCCCAGCACCAAAACTCCTCCTCCTCCTCCTCATCCTCCTCGTCGTCGTCGTCTTCATTATCATCATCGTCACCTTACCCTGATCAGCTTTGCCTTTGACTGCTTCTTCAACAGAACGCCGCTGTTTTCCGGCGTCAGGTCAATGGCGCGCATGAACTAAACGCGATGAAAGAAACGCATGCGTGCATGCAGGCACAGTGTGAGAGCGAGTACTCGCGTGAGCGAATTGTTATTCATGACCATGTTATATGTATGACCACAGAGAGAGAGAGCGCGCGCGAGCGCGTTTGTGCATGTGAGCCAGCGACGGAGCAAGAACATACACACGCACACGCACACGCATAAGATCTTCACCTGATCAGCAGCGATGAGTGTCGCCTTGAACATGAATTCAAATTGCGCGGCACTTTGCACCATTGCCACACGTTGCTTTCGCATCCGGCGCACAAGATCCTGCATGCATGCAAGCAACCACATCGAGTCGGTTTGCATTGTATGAAGTTGTGAGAGAGCGTGTGGGTGTGTGTGTGGGTGTGTGTGTCCGGTGTGTGAGAGGGAACGCAAGCAAGTCATCTTGTGCTATGCACCGCATGAACAGCAGCAGCAGCAGCAGCAGCAGCACGAGCACGAGTGCACCTCGAGGTTCCAGGAGATTTTCTTGTCGCGTCGCATGTAGTGGAGTGACGCCAGCACCGCATATGTGGCGATGAATGTTCCCGTTCGCCCAACACCCGCGCTGCAGTGCACAACAAGTGGAGGCTGATGGTCGCCATGGCACACAGCGGTGGTGTGGTGGCCGAGAAATGTGAGCATGAAAGAGAGAGAGAGAGAGAGAGAGAGAGAGAGAGAGAGAGAGAGAGAGAGAGAGGGAGGGAGAGAGAGAGAGAGAGAGAGAGAGAGAGAGAGAGAGAGTGTGTGTGTGTGTGTGTGTGTGTGTGTGTGTGTGTGTGTGTGAGTGTGTGTGTGTGTTGTGATGCGCGCTGTGATGACATGGTACAAGAGCTGCTCAACACTCCATTGCGCTCTTGTGCTCAAAGTTACAGATAATGACCGCTTCTGCGTCATTCTATGCACCCACTATCCGTAGCACCAACTCACGTCTTTGGCCTTGACAGATTGCGTCACGCGCTGCTGCATCGCCATGGCCGTTCGCACAAATTGCACAAATCCGTGCGGCGACTCCTGTCCACACGTGTGTGTGTGTGTGTGTGTGTGTGTGTGTGTGTGTGTGTGTGTGTGTGTGTGTGTGTGTGTGTGTGTGTGTGTGTGTGTGTGTGAAGTCGGCGTTGAAGATGCTCAGCTTCACAGCCCACCCAAACATGACCAACTACCACCACCACCCCCCATCATCATCATTGTCACCACAATGATGAGCAACGCAATCACAGCCACCATCTCCTCACCGGTGTGCCGTAGTCGGGCCAGTCTGTGAAGTGGTATTGAACAACCTGCATGATTGGAGGTGATGCATTGAAGGTGTGTCAGGTGTTGGAATTCAAGTAGGGCATGCAACATGTAGTGAATGCACACAACACGCTCACTTCCACGCGGAATGGTTGCACCACCAAAGACACACACACCCACACAAACACGCACACACAGTCGTACCCTGCGAGGTTCGTTGTCGTTGATGCGAAGTGAAAACACGCGTTCGCTCCACGTGAATCCGTCCTGTTCATCCACATGTTCGACGGTGATGCGATTTGGGTACCTGACCACGCCCAACCGTGCGTGCATGCATGGATGAGACGAGAGACGAGCACATGAGTGACACCACGCCAGCACACATCACAACGCCACGCATCACTTCACCACACGCCACTTCATGCGACCGCACCCTTTCTCTGGCTCGAACGTGACGGTGTCGTTGATGTCTGGCCAGTACTGATCGCACTTGATCCTGAAGAACACATACGGGGAGAGATGGTGAGCGACGTTGTGGTTTCATTCACCAGAGCACGCAGTACAAACACGTGTTGTCACACTTAATTTTGCACACCCACATACGTTCACACCCACATACACCCACGCACACACACACACACACACATACACACACACACATACACACATACATACACACACACGCACACACACACACGTGCTTCGTACCGGGAGCCCTCGATGGTGTTTGTGACCATTACGATGACACCCGTGTTGTACTCGGCCACCATTTCCCAAAACACGCGCGTACTTGTTTTGGTCGGCCCCTGCATACAGAACAAAGAGCACGCATGTGCAGACAAGGGAGTAAGTGGGACGAATATGGAAGGGAGCAGGGGGGGGGGACAGAGCAAACAGAGAAGAGCAAATAGAGACCACAGTGGCATCTGTACACAAACAAATCTCTCAAGAGCGAAAGAGGCGACCATCTCCAGGCCTGTTTGCCATGTGCATCTTGTTCATTTTCTTTCCTTGTCTTGTATGCACATGCGCACGCGCGTGCACGCGCATGGGACGCATTGCGCTAACTTTACCTGTGTTGCGATGAAGTTTGGTGTTCCAGGCATCAACTGCTGAATGTGACTCTGTGAACACGTACACACACACACACAACAGGAACGAAGCCAGAGTGAGGGGTGGATTGTAGTCGGAGCGCCCACGTATGTGTGCAACTGAACGCACCAACACAATGAGAAATCAAGCAAGCAACATGCACTCATGTAAACACACACACGCACACACACAAACATTCACACACGCAAAAACAAAAAACACAAACACAAACACAAACACAAACACACATGTGCGAACACATACACAGCACCACCACGACCACCAACACTCACTGCGTTGATGTAGTCCGGTGTGCACTTGTGCAGCACAACGCGACTTGCATCGTAGGGGACAATGTCGTTGTACCTGTGGCATCACAGTGCGTGAGCAATGTGTCAGTCAACTGTGCGGTGCATGACCACGGC